CCGCCGCCGCCGCCTCCGCCACCGTTGCCTCCGATTCCGCCGCTGCTACCGCCGCCGCCACCACCGCCGCCACCGCCGCCGCCACTACTATCACCGCCGCCACCACCACCGCCGACGCTCGGCGGATCCTGGGACGACGACAGATCCTCCGCGGCGGCGAGGTCTCGCTCCTCCTTGACGCCGAGCGCGCCAGCCGCGAGCAGTTCCAGCGGTAGGCTCGCGCACGCGATGTCGGGGCTTTGAGAGGCCGACGAAGACATACCCTCGACGCTACCTCCTCCGTTACCACCACCACCGTTGCTGCTGCCGCCACCACCACCACCGCTACCACCCCCGTTACCACTGGCACCGCCGCCGCCTCCGCCGCTCCTACCACCCCCCGTTTCCTGCACGACCTCGTGCTGATGCTGCTGCTGCTGTTGATGATGGTGGTGATGGTGGTGGTGGCTGTGATGGTGATGATGATGGTGGTGGTGGTGGTTGTGATGCCTACCCCCACCGACCACGATGCCCCTACTGCCACCTCCGCTACCACTTCCTCCTCCTCCTCCTCCAGCGCCTCCGCCTCCTCCGCCACAGTTCCCATTCGAGCCGCCCCCACCGCCCCGGCCATGCGTAGACACCGCCGCCGGGGAATCGACCGAGTCCAGTAATTGCTCGCTATGCGATTGATGATCGCCTATGTCCCCTATACCTTCCATTTACGCACATCTAGTTCGGTAGTGGGCGCACTGCCACTCGCTCCTTCGCTGTCGTACGCCGCCGACCACGACACAGACCGTACCGCGTGCCGCACAGATCGCACCGTACCGCAATACTACACAGAGCGTGCGCGCGTGCGCGCGTTATTTTTTTTTTCTCGCGAAGAACACTCGCTACTCTCTCTCTTCGTTTACGTTTTCGGATAAATAATTGTCGTTTCGAGAGGGTCGCTACGATCACTCGACCTCCCTCGTTGATCTCAGATCACAGATTACCGCATGACTGCGAAACGACGACGTGTACGATCATCTCGGCGACTACCCCGCGAATAGAGCGCGTAAGCGGACGACAACGACGACCACGACGCCGACGACGACGACGACGACGACAACGATAACAACGACGACGGCGACGGCGACGACGCTGATGCTGAGGCTCCACCGTCACGCCGGGTCGGCATAGGGAGCACCCGGTGGTAGCGCAACGACCACCGTGCGCCCATGACACCGCGCGAGTGCTGAGCGAGTGAGAGCGCACGCTCTCTGCGCTCGCGCGCCCGAGTGCGAGCGCACCCAGCACCGGTGGCTCTTCCCGGTGGAAGAGACGAGGAGAGAACGAGAGTGAGAGTGAGAGTGAGAAAAAAAAGAGAGAGAGTGAGAAAGAGAGCGCGAGTTTCCACCAGGCGGATCCAGAATACAGAGACGAAGTGGCGAGAAGGGGGTGCGATTTCACCGCCGCACCGCTCTGTCCCGCACCACCGCCGCTTCCGTCCCGTTTCCTTCTCTATCGGGGACTTGTTCCACTCCGCCCCCTTCCCCTAACGGTTCCTACCCCGGGTGTTCCGAGTCACACTACCGGCACCGCTGCCACCTGGTCCGCTCTCTACACTATACCTTGTTACACTACTATTACTACTACCACCACTAATATCACTACCGCTGTTCCGCTCGCGCGCTTCTTCGTGTCGCGTGCCGCGAGTTTCTCTCCTGGTCCAGGTGCGACCGCGTCTCTATCCTCTTCCTCCTTCTCCTCCTTCCCCCTGTCCCCGCCACGTGTCAGTTTGTTCGTTCGTTCACGGAGGGGAGCCTGGTTCGCTCACACACCGCTCACTACCACTGTCACTATCACTACACCAGCACACTGTCAACGGAACCGTTACACCGTTGTGTACCTGCGCGCTGGTCTCGTTCGCGCCTTTTCTCCCCACGAATGACGATTCACGTCCACGTGAAGGCGACCCCCGGCGGTGCCGAAAGAATCCCGCTCTCTCTTATTGCACACGACGATCCGCGGACGACTACGAGAGTCTCCAGACAGTCACCCGGAAGATGACTGTCGACTTTCGCGATTGTCTTTTCGTGTCCTTTTCGACGAGGCTGCGAAAGTGCGATGATAACTTCGTACGTACGGAGCGTTAAGTGACAGAAGCGACCCCTTACCGGTCACACATTCGCCGGCTGAAGCCCACCACCATCAACGGCACGCCACTAGGGGTATGTGTGTGTATGTGTGTGGGCGACACGGACACCCACCGCCCACCACCGTCACGACAACAACGACGACGACCACTACTATCACCGCCGCCGCCGCCACCAGCAGCAACTTCAACTACGACGACGCCACCGCCGCCGCCGCCGCCGACGTCGCCGCCGCTGGCGTCAGTCAGCTTTCTATCGATTTTCCGATACCTCGTGACCAACGTAGCTCGATGCGCGCGGCTCGATACTTCGAGCATAAACATCGACTCGCGTCACCCGCGCCCGTCGCCACCGCGTCCCGCTCGACCTCGACCCAGCGATGTGCGGCTGCTGATGCGAAGGCTGCTCCGGATTCGACGCAACTCGATTTGCGATTCGATTCGCGATCGTCACCTGTTCTCCCTGACGAGACGTCGTCTGTCTTGTCCGCCGAGAGATTTTTAAAAATCTCGATACACTCCAGCGAGCCGCCTCATCGCGAGACATTCGCGATAAATCGGTCTTTCGACTCTGGCGAACTTCCTTTTTCCCCGAACTAGGTCGCCGACGTGGTAGTTATACTTCGTCGTGGAGAAGTTACTTTGCGTCAAGTTGTTCGATGAGTTCACTTTTGCAGACTTTTGCTCCTCTTCTCCATTCTCCCGAAAATCGTTGCGATCGGTCCAAAGTATTCAGCAAACATCGCTGATCCGTCCGGTCGATCGCCGAATCGATACATGTCGGCCGGTCATCCGACACGAACCGCGGTGTCCTCCGCTCGTGCGCGCACGCGCGGAAATCGCCGTCGAAATCGCCAGTCTCGTTTGCCGCCTCTCCTCTTTAAGATCGAAACGTCGATACGCCGATAAGGGTTGATTCGTCCATCATGACGGCACGCCGCGTGCGGAGATTCACTCTTCAAGATGTCGTCCTCCTATGGCCGCGAGAACGAACGATCCGCGCGAACGATAACTCGATCGAGCGGCACCGATGGCGGAATCCGTACACACACACGCGCGCGCGCGCGCGTGTACAGAGTCATACAGCAGACAGACACGCACATACACACGTACACCGGGCAGGGGTGGCAGAGAAGAAGAGGGGTCGTCGACGATTGGTCGTAGCCGGCGTCGATACGGAGATCAATGGCCGCCTGCGCTCTCTTCGATGTATATAGAGAGCGAGAGAGACAACGACGGCGTCGAATCGACTGTCGCAGGCACTTGGGCCGCGCGCTTTCGATCGATCGGCTTTGCGGAGTGTCGAAGTCCGCGGCCCGATGCTTCGCGCGCTCGATGGCGCACCTGACCTCGAAGGGTGGCGCGCGCGCGAGAGGAGACGATTCCTTCGCGGTAACTTCTCTTCCTTTCGGACGGGGTGTTCTTCGCGGCCTTCCGATCCTGGACTTCGTCGACGTCGGCTCGCGCCCGCGTGCGCACGCTTCAAGCGCACCGCGGCGCTCTTGTCTATGTGTGTGTGTCTCTTTCTCTCTCTCTCCTTCCCTTTCCCTCTTTGCACCCTCAACGCTGTCGTCGTCTTCGTACTTCCGAATTCCGTCGCAGTTCGTCTGGCACGCGAATTTTCTCCCGAGAAGACTGGATTCCCTCGCGCGGAACAATTCCTCCTTTTCTTCCGATTCTTCTCCCGTTTCTCCTCTTCTCTTCACTCTTCGGGGACCTCGGATCTCCGGGCGCCCGTAGGAACCGCGCGAAGCGAGAAGAACGTTTCTACGGCAAGGGCGCGCACGAGGTCGAGTCGTGTGGTGTTGTTGGAACACACGGAGAGAAAACGAACGCGTCTCGCGCTCGCACGGAGTTGTGCGGAGTTGCGCAAATCGCGAATGCTACGCTATACGCGAGAGCCTCCGGCAGGAGGGTGCCTTTCTCTCTCTCTCTCTTTCTATCTCTCTTCTTTGCTCTCGCGCGCTCTTTCTCCCGCGGGGCGAGACGGGAGCGACAGAGTTGAGCGGCGCACGAGGGGGTTGCAAGAGTACGGCGGGGAGGGAGAGAGGCGGAGATCTCGCTACGGGGATCTGTAACGAACTCGATACGCAGGGGTCGAGGAGAGGGACGGGACGCGGCTCCGCGGGGGTGAGGGGTGAGGAGGGGATACACTGGCTGGAACGAGGGAACCGGGGGAGGGAGGACGAACGAGTCAGGGGTGGCCCAGGGACCACTCGACCGCGTCCGGTACCCTGAACGACGCACAATGTTGCTTCTCAATTAGAAGAACTTCTTCCTACATGGCTTCGCGTATCCGCTTTTTTCCCCCTCTCCTTTACCTCCCGACTCGGATCGATAACAGAGTTCGATGCACTCGTGGTTTGATTTATCGAACGATGAGGGGACAATCATCGATTCGTTGTTACGTGGAGCTCTGTGTTTGCTATCGGTGCATTGTCAGCGATATCGATCCGTCGAATTGACTCTGACACGCCACGACTGTCACACCGCGGTATCTTTACACTGACACCTGCGTGCGCGCGTTGAATTCTCAAAAATTTACTCCAGACTCTTAGGAATCGATTGTGTAAATTGCGAAAATAACATAAATGAGGAAATTTATTGGAATATTTATAATTTCATCAGAGTCAACACTTTTTTTTAGAAAATTTGCTCACTTTCGTTATTTTCATCTCATTTTAAGATTACACAATCTATCCTTGTACCATTCAATATAGATATTAATGACGTCAGAAGAAGATATACATAATGAAAATTTATGCAAAAATCTTTTAAAAAAAAAATATTTTTTAATGAAACAATATTTGCATTCTATATATACTTGTAAAACTTTTTCATTTTGGGATAGAATAAAATTATATTTATTTTTTAATTCAGAAGCTGTCATACGGTTTGTTTAACTTTTTGTTAAACGGTTAGACAGGTGAGCGCACGCGTGCGCGCGCGCGCACACACACACAAAATTAAACTTCAAGTATATTATTTATTGATTATAGCAGATCACAGAAGGAATTTTTTGATATATTTTACAAATCTATTCTATCGTTTTATTCTATCGATTGCTATTTTATTTAAAAATATTTTCGCTTTAATATAAAGAATTACTTTTTGCCGCATTACTATTTTCTTGCTTATGACGTCACAATCACTGCAGAGAATAGTTTCATTCTATTGAAGTGCTCGCGAACGAGCAAGAGGACAACACGAAATGGGATTTTGAAAATTAACGGAGCAATCGGACGGTGTATTTTTAATAAACGAGTCCAGTGTAAATACATTGAGTGTTTCACTATTAAACGCGCATGCAGAGTTCGTTAATGTTCAATTCAATGGGACTAAATAAGCGAAAGCGAGATCTTTTCTGTAACGTCGAGTGATTACGCACAGAGCTTTACAGTTTGACGAGCGCGCTGTGCTTACAGTCCTGACTTTATGCGATTAAATATTCTGAAATACCCGGGAGCGTTTTGTATCTTAACGACAAAGCAACAACAAAACGTTTTTAACGAAAGTAATAAAAATATAATAATACAACGTTTTTAATGAAAAACTGAAATGCTGATATGTTTATTTTTATTAATATAAATAAATAAACAGTATGTTTTATTTATGTATATAGTACATAATGTGTTATTATATTTACATGCATAAACAGGTTTTTACACAGCTAGATATTGTTTTCTCTTTGTTGTTATTGTTCACGGTCCGTTCGAAACACAGATAGAATTTATTATTATAATTTTAGACATGCAACGTCGAAT